GTGGTTTTGGTAGTCAGTTTACCCAAAACCCTTTCTGTCGTGTACTTAAATAACTTGACACAGAGACCCTCATCCTGATGTAACTGCCCAGCATCTTTCTCTCTGCCTTTCCCCTCAAATTTTCTCCCGTCAGGGTTGTACTCCAGTTCTCTTTCTTAACACGTTTAACTGTCAAAAATCCATTATCAATACACAACTGAACCCAACCATGAGTAACTGTTATAAAAAGTTAGCCCATTAAATAGTATTATGTATTAAAATATGCCTGATTGCTGCTTCCCCAAAAAAGGGGAATTTAATGTGCAAAAAACATCAATCGGTGGAAATGCTGTCATACATATCAGATAATGATTTTATGTATGCCTTATGTTTTAAGTGCCATTTATGCTGATGTTTATTAACTCTTTCTGGACGTATCGTCATTTAGGGGTGGCAGAATCCATTACATTTAGACATATCGCCATTGAAGTGGCTCTCAACATAAACACTCTTAATATTTTTTTGCTTGCTAGAAAATCAATTTGTATGAACATGTTTTGAAAAAACTGGTATCTTAATTTTTTAAGAAAGGTGGACTATTTTCTGATTTGTTTTTAAATTAAATCAGTCATTTAATATGCTTTTTTTTTTGCTCTTATGAAATTGGATGTGATATGAAAATGTTCACAAAATCCAAGGTTTTTCGAATAATGGTCTTAAACAAAGACTAGCTGATGCATAACTAAATAGAGAAGGCGTGTGAATTCTTAGAAATGGATAGCAGTGTTGCTGATGAAGTAAAAATTAAAGTAAGCACAACACTTCATGTGTCAAAAACCATGAATGTGTGACATTTTAATATTTTGTTGTTGCAATACTGACCCTTAAATAGTTAAGATGTATTCTGTATTAATTTATCTCTAATTTGATATAGTATATGTCACTATACAGCTAATAAACTTTCTTCAGGAAGGTTTTAGTCTTTTATGTTGCTATAAAATATTCAGCTCAAAATGAATGTTGTCCAAACCCAAGAAAAAAATGCCTTCCTAAAAGATAGAAAGGCTTTCTAGCCACAATATTTCATTTCTTTGTTTGAAATTGTAGTTTTGTGAACCTTTCTGGTTCTACTTATTGTTTAGATTGATATATTGTCATGATGTATGATTATAAACATGACCAAGAACACAGCAAATATATGTTTAAGGAGCGAGATAGCCCTCTGTGCTGCCTGGCATGGTATGTGATGATAAATAATGGAACTGTTGGTCCAAAACATGTTTACATTAAAGACATTAAAAGAATATAAAGACTTAAATACTACAGTCGGTGTCTGTGGCTTAGGCGTTGAAAATGTGCTTCGTAGTACTGGGTTGCTGGGTTCGATCCCAGATGCAGGCTATTTGGTAGGAAACAGTTTTGCGTTTGTGTCGACAGAGGTATCCAGAGCCAACAGTTCAGTAGCAATGGCAAACTACTGAAGGGAAAATTTGCCTAGAAAAACCACAATTCAAAAACTGCTGGGATTGGTTCTGTAACATCCTGTAAGGGATACACAACTAACTTTAACTTAAAGCACGTGTTTATACTAAAAATACTTAAAAGGCTGTAGTGGCTAAGACTCCTGCGCATTGGAGCACACCAGCTGTTCCCCCTCGTGAGTCTCTGGGTCTAGCCTTATAGGTGAAAAAGGCGCACTCAGGTGCAGATAGGCTATTGGTGCATGTTATTGCAGATAGGCTAAAGGTGCTGCAGGCTAAGTCATACCTCAGAGGAGCTGCAGACAGAGAACACCCTCTGTATGAAGCTTTGGTTGCAGGCAAGGGTCAGAGGTTGAAAAGTGGAAAATCGTGGATAGCTCAAGCAGAAGACACAATAAGACAAGTATGCATGCTGGAGAACATTGGGCGAGGAGAGGAGTGGGTCAGAGTACCAGCAGAAAAGTCTGACCTGTATAGGGTTATGATCACATTGGGCCGGGAGTGCAGAGAGTGGCCAGCGGGTGCTACAGAGGTTGAAGTCCAACAGTTGATTCATGACAATTCACGCCCAGGTTATCTGTATATCAATACAGATGGTTCGGTGCTGAGAGGAAAGAGAAGTGCTTGGGGGTTCATAGCAAAAGCCAATGGAAAATCTTTAGTGCAAGACAGCCTAGCATATGACACCACAACATCTAGCATGAGAATAGAGGTGGAGGCGGTAACTGCAGCTCTCTGATGGCTAGAGAACAAGGTGCATACACATGTGGTAATTGTAACAGACTCTGAAAGCATGCTGAAAAAGGTGAAGACAGGGATGCTACCATGGCTCCCAATGAAAATATCAGCATAACATTCCCTGCAATTCTAGTGTGGGACTGTTAGTGCTGGCGCATTTGTCAGCTGCCTTACGCATTTTTACTTTGGGTATGCAAGATTCATGATTTTGAAGGGACTGACAAGTTTTTCAAATGAGAAACTGAAGGACATTCTGTGTGATTTCTACTGGCACAAAAATGTAGCAGTTACAGGATAACCCATCTGCGGTGATGTTGGAACCATACTAACTAACAAACCCTCAATATCATTGTCTGCACGGTTACTGGAGGGGAGGGTAGGGTGGAGGGAGCAATGGTAAACTACATTCTTCAAAATTCCTAAAAATAAAAGTTATGATTCAAGGATTGGTGCAATTGTCTTAGAACAGTCCTACCATCTGATGCAAGAAGCCTTGCAGACATTACAACAATTGCTGTTGCAAAAGTAACCTGTGGCAAGATGCAAAACATTCTCACCAATAAAAATATGGCAATGGCGGTTAGAACAAAGTTTTGAAGTGCTATACTGAAAGTATCAACTGTGGCTTAGGCACTGTGAATGTGCTTTGTAATTCTGACGTACCTGGTTCGATTCCAGCTGCAGGCTATTTGGCACCAGACTGTTTTGCCTTGATTTTGATAATGGTATTGAGTACTGGCTGCTCAGAAAGTAATGACATACTACTGAACAGAAACTTGCACAGTAAAACCAGACAGTAAAACAAAATACTGGGGTTGGTTCTGCAACATCCTGTAAAGCAGGGCTATTCAACTGGCAGCCTGCGGGATAGATTTGGCCTAGCAAGTGGCCCACAAAACACTGCCAACTGTATTGTATTAATGGTCTTTCTATCCTGGAGCTCTGACCTCTGGCCGGTGACAATCCCCATTTTCAAAATGTTGGCCCCTGAGTCAACTTAACTGAATAGCCCTGCTGTAAACGATGCGCAACAAACTTTCACAAAGTGATTTAATATATTCTTTTGAAGTCGGAGTACATCTACCTGAGAGGTAAGGAACCAACAGTCTGCAAATAACTTAGACATATGAAACGGATGTACACGCAACACTCAGTTTCTGGAACAGGACTAGAGTCCAGAAGTGGACAAACAACCAGAATATTTCTGCCAGAGTTTATAGCTAACGAACGCAAAGAAGAAGAAGAAGAAGAAGAAGAAGATTAAGTATATGACAAATGGATAACAGACAAACTGAGAGAAATCTAACAGGCAAGGCAGAGAGATAAATACCCATAATTTTTGGCCATATGAATGGGACAAGACAAGAGCACTGACCTGACCTGTGATTATTATGATCGTAGGATGGTAAAACATAACTGCCTATGCAGGGGATGTGATGATGATGATGATGATGACTCAGCATACACATGTGGTTAAATATGAATACAAGCACCACACAGCTATCGTTAAAATATGTTCAAGAAAACAGTTACAGTTATACCATTCTAAACATATTAGCAATATAAAAACTGACAATAAAAACAGTTTTCAAAGCAGAAGAGAAAAAAGGAAAAGCCTGTTACCATTTGAGTTGTAAAGCTACTAATAACTAGAAGGAAATAACTAATGGTTTATTCAAGATTTAAGAAACAGATATAAAAACAAATGCTGTCAAAAGAGAAAGATATACTATCTTGAAAGAAGCATATGAGTTTATGAGTGATTTATATATTGATATGTGAATACCTGTCGGAACGGAGGGAGGCAGCGGCGGTGCATTCCCTTGGAAATATTCGAAAAAAGTGCAAATAAGTCAAAATGAAGTGCTTCATTAATCGTAAAGCACACAATGCACACATAACACAGTTTTATCCAATAATGTTTCATATTACTTTTTTTTAAACCATAACCTCCTAACCTCTAGCCTATCCTAGCTGTTTGAGGTCACTTCCTGTCCATTGCCTATCTATGACTTAGTGAAGCTGCATATTTGTAGCTTCTGTATTCCACATGCATGGACAGCTCTACAGCCAATGGACTTCATCCAAAATTATATGTAGTTGTATAAAAGCTAATGTATATGGATGGAAAAATCTAGCTGCAGCGATAATTCTACATGGTCTGATTGTGTTTTCCAGAGAAGATTCTACTTCTTGTTTGAGCTGATTTGTACAATGCTCACATTAAACTACCCCTGTTTACCACATTGGCGCTGCAGTGTTATGTAAAGCTTTTGCTAAAAAGAAGAGATGCATGAAAACAGCAGCTTAATAATGATAAAAGAGACTGACAAATATGAATAATTAATACTTTGAGCAGTAGCGAAATGGCCAGCATGCTTGCCCGACAGTCACAGGTTTGAATCCTTGTCACCCAGACTGGCTTAGCTTAAAATTGGTTCCAGGACATTTCTTGAAAGGTAATAGCACCTAGCCTAACACTGACTATACTATCCATCAGGGTGTTAATAGCACCTAGCCTAACACTGACTATACTATCCATCAGGGTGTTAATAGCACCTAGCCTAACACTGACTATACTATCCATCAGGGTGTTAACTCATCTGTATAGCTGTAGGCTAGCACCATATGCCCCAAAGCATATGCGTCAAAGGTCAATGATTGGGAATGGGATGTTACAAGATTACCATTCTTTGTGTGTTGTGATTAGAAATGAAGTTTGCTCTGTTTAATTAAAAAAACTAATACTGCTTGAAAAGGCCTTAACCCCGTCACCCTGTGAAAGTTAGTGTTCCAACTTGTACAGGTTTCTGATGACATGATGTCTTCAGGCAGCAGCCAATATGCCTATATAACAGCTTTAGTACTGGCTATAACTGTATAGTGTGTACACATGGTGGGTATGATTATATGTATGGGGTGAAAAGTCATATTTTTGTCACTGTGATGTCATAATAAAATTATAATGACATCCATCACTTTGCTCTCTGCAGTTGTATCAACAAAACCAGTTTTCTTCATTAAGTGAAAAAGGGAAGGAAAGAAGTTATTTCTCTGCTCTCTTTGTATTTAGTGTTTACCTCCAATAATTTAAAAAAAAAAGAAAAATAACCTTTGTGTAAAATGACTCTAAATGTGAGTTTGTGTTTGTTGTAGATCAAGAAAAAGCTTTTAACAGAGTAGACAGAAACAAACTATCAGCTAATACTTGAGGATTATGGGATACAAGGACAATTGGTAGATAACATGGCCAAGTACCACACTTTCCAAAGTGTAGTAGTAACATGACAAGGCATATCTGATATGTTTACAATCAATTCAGGGGTGAGGCAGGAATGTGTGCTCTCTCCTCTTTTATTTACTGTATACGCAGACAGAATATCAAAAGAAGTTAGCTTTGAAGCAGTCGACCCAGAAAATCCAGAAAATGAGGAAGTTTACTTTCCAGAGAAAGAGTCAGACCCACACACAATAAATGAGTTACTATTTGCATATGATCAGTACCTTTTTTACAATGAGGGTAGTAGACTGTAGGACCATTGAAACAGGCCAAGTTCAACCTCCAGAAGACATAACATGAAAATAAATACGACTAAAACTGAAGTCATGCAGGTCAGCAGAATTCCTTGTCCACTACGTATCAGGCTGAATGGTACTTGTCTGAAGCAAGTTAAAAGAATTACAATTTGTAGCAAGTATATTCTCGGAGGATGGGAGAATAGTTTAGAAAATAGAAACAAGATGTCAAAGAGCCAGTGCACTAATATACAAATTGACACTATTATTAAGACATCTTAATACAAGCAAGAGCACAAAGAAACATCATATTCATACCAAAACTGTGCTTCTAGTGCCAGACTTGGACATTATCAAAAGTTAACCTACATTATCATATGTGAAAAAACCATTAGGGACAAAGTTAGAAATGAAATTATCAAACAGACTGTAGGAACAACACCATGCAGCAAATTCACTGAGAAATGGAATATCAAATGGTTTGGTCATTTAGTAAGAATGCTGCCAGAACAACTACAAATGCTGGTGCTACACAAGAAAAGATCTGTAGTGAAAGCAAGAGGCAGCCCAAGGAGAAGATGAACTGATGACATTCAAGAGCTTTTTTATCGAGAAGGAATGACAATAGCCAATGCTACCCATCAAGCATGGATCGCAAACTGTTCCTCCCCACAACTCTCAATGGCAGAAGTCCAAATTGGTGATGATGATGATGAAATAGGAAAAATCCAACCTGTTTAGTTACTTGGAGGACATGATGACACAAATAACCAGCAGGCCTGCCTGTCTGCTTGTGGTCATCGGTGTCAACCCCCTGGGTATTAACTGACCAAGACCCCAAATTGTTTCTGCTTCTTTAACTCTTTTTCTCATTTCTTTAGGTAGAGTTTTAGAGAATTATAAGTATGCATTTCTTTTTTCATGGAATTTTGGTCAAGGTCATATTCTAAGATTTTTACAGGGTAAGAAGGTTAAAGGAACACTCAGATTTAAACTGTTGTGCTGTATGAAGGACCACATGGACTACGAGTCAACAGCGGGGTTATGAGAGAGAGGGGGGGGGGGGGTAACTGAGAGATTAGGTCTTGACAAAACATAAATTTATCCTTTTATGACGCTAAGCAATAAATAGTAAAGTCCTAACTAGTTTAGTATCAATTCACCATGCATTTGTTGGGTTCTATAAATATTTGTCTCAACTCTTATTGCCACATCAAGTAGTTATATCAGCCGATACTGCTCCCGTTGTTAATGTAACTTCTTCTCTCTGCTAGCACTTGTATTTCAAGTTATTCTGACCAAAACATTTGTTATTTAGAGACTTTGTAAGAGAGAGTAGGCCAAATTACATCCGCCTAGTAGTGACCGTGCTAAGATAATGGAATTGGGGAACAAAATAAAAACGTTTTTGAAAAAGTTTTTCCAGTTTTAGCATCTGTGCGCTTGCAGACAATTATGGCCTAGCAACTGCCAAATATCAGTGAGCTTGCAGACAATTATGGCCTAGCAACTGCCAAATATCAGTGAGCTTGCAGACAATTATGGCCTAGCAACTGCCAAATATCAGTGAGCTTGCAGACAATTATGGCCTAGCAACTGCCAAATATCAGTGAGCTTGCAGACAATTATGAGCCCTAGCAACTGCCAAATATCAGTGAGCTTGCAGACAATTATGGCCTAGCAACTGCCAAATATCAGTGAGCTTGCAGACAATTATGGCCTAGCAACTGCCAATCAAATGTCCGCCCCCCTCCCCCTCCCCAAGAAAGCTTTTATTTCACAAGAAGCAACAGTAATTTCATTGCTGACGTTAGTTTAAATATAATTTTCTTAAAAATTATTAAAGCAATAAACTCTTGCTTCTAAAACTGTTACTGCTTCTTCTTCGTGGTCACCAGCTGTAAACTCTTGCCTAAAGTTCTACTTGTTCGTCCACCTCTAGACATTATACTTCTCCAAGAATCAGACTGTTGTGTGCACATCCGTTTTACTGATCTGGTTTATCTGATTGCAGACTGTTGGTTTGGTGTCCCTCAGGCAGAAGCATCCTGACTTTGAAGGATGCCCCCAATTAGTCGATTTCTACAACACGCTTGTTGGGGATGCAGGAGTCTATTCTTGTTTTCCCCACAATGGGGCACCAGAACCCACACAGGGAAAGTAATTCTGACCCACAAATTTGTTAGTTAAAGAACAAACTTTATAAAACAGAATATAACTGCATAATTTTGACAGATTTGAGTTAATGGAATGGGGGAACACCTGAAAATAATTGTTATGAAATAAAAGAAAATCCATCATCTTCTAGGATAATATATACACGCTTACAGGCAATCACGGCTCAGTCCATCAAATGTTTCAACTAAAATGTGTCATTTCACAAGATGCAACAGCATTTCATTGTTAACATTAGTTAAAACATAACTTTTTCACAAAACATGTTTCTAAAACTATGTTTCAAGAGGCTTATATTAAAACCTGCAGGCCACACACACACACAAAATAACACGCTTAAAAAAAAAAACCCATCCGGGGAGGGGGGGGGGGAGGCAACTAAAGAGAGTGCAACTAGAACAAAAGACAGGCAATGATGGAGATGCATTACAGCTACTGTGAAGATGGCAGCTGATGTACACCATGCTTACAGAAAAGGCATCTACAGTTAGTTGCTAAATCAAATGCAATCTACCTGCCTCTCCTTGTTCTGTTATTAACTGTCATGCTACGTGCAAGTTTAATAGAACGAAATGATCTATATTTGCTAGTTCATAACATAAAACTGGAAGGACCCTTTTCCCACCAGCGGCACACTAGATATATGCTGCTAGACTCATGGTTTTATAGACTAACTGGCATTCAATCGGTGAATTGGTCAACACCATGCCAACCGCATTTGCTTCCTAGGACATTTTCTGGTACCACTTTGAGGCTGGGTCAACCTAGGAGCCCAGGTCTAGCCCCTGTGATATGGTAACTCTTAAAGTGACCAAAATTCCTTTGCAACATTTAAACACATTATGAACTGCACCAAAGATGCACAAACATTTCTCATTCTTACTTTCACTCATTTCTTTCTTCTTCTTAGCATTCCCTGGCTGTTACCTCTGACAAATAATTATGGTGGTTCATCCACTTTTGGACTTTAGTCTTGTTCCAGATAGTGAAGTTCATATGCACATCCATTTTACAGATCTGCTTACTGTGCAGACTGTTGGTTCTTCGCCTTTATTCAAAGCACAATAGTCAAAGTACAATACTGAAAGTGTACACTGACAGTAATTATCTTACCCTGTAAAAATATATTCATCTTATCTCAGTTGGGGCCAAACACATTTGACAATTTTATCAACACTAGGAAGACAGAGCATCTATAGGTATACCTGGTGTGCTATGATGTCATGGAGTGGCCAGATACATTGGACAATTTTCTCAACACAGAAGGGAAGACAGTGAGTAATGGGGAACATTATACCGAGACCTATCACACATGAAAATTTAACAGTTCCCACCCCTCCAGCAGTATCCGTACAGGATTGTGTATATCTTTTATCACAATATACAAATATGAATGGAAGTATAGACAGGGACAATTTTTACCCTCTGACACATCAAGCATACAGTGTTAGATGTATATTTTCATAGATCAGTGGACACTCGATAAGTGATATGGTCAGCATCACAGCTTCCACCATTACTTCTCAGGACATTACTGGTAAATATTTTACGCTGGGTCAACCTGGAAGTTAGGGTCCCTTTTTAACTACAACAACAAATCTGCATCAATCTGGATTTGAACCCTAGACCTTCAGGTTGGTACACTACCATGTTATCCTGGTTACCTAGTATAAATGTACTTATTCTTACATCAATATCAGGTTCAACATGCAGCAGATCTGTAAAATTATTTCTCCTCCATTTATGCAATAGTAATTGAAAGACATTTCTATTGGCCAATATACAATAGGTTGATAATGATTTATGGGGGTCACAACTATCAATACTGAACAAAGTTTAAAAACATCAAACAGCAACAGAAAATTCAAATATAACAGAATTGTATTTTTACCATATAGCAAACAACTATATACACAAACTACTTTAAAAAAAAAACACCATGCAAATATGAAAACAAATACAAAATATAGACAATCAATATTTAAGAATGGTCAACAACAAAACAACATCAAACAACAAAAGAGAAACAAAAACAAACATATTTTAAGTGAAAAGCAGATAACAGTATGAAGAAAGTAAAAAAATCAAACATAATTCAAATATGAAATCAGAGAGAAGATACAAACGAAAAAAGAATACACTCATCAATATTCAACAGTCAAACATCGAAACAGCATCAAGTAACAAATGAATAAAGACTTTCAAAAATGACAAGGGAGGCAGTGTGCAGAACTTACAGGTTGCAGTAAGTTGATGACATGGAGAGTGCTAGTTGTGTATTCAGTCTTCTCTTCTTCTGATTTCCCTTCAGAGTCCACCTCATCATTGTTACTGGAATATGCTGAGGAAGTTGTTTCATCTGACTGCATTCTATCCTCCCACTCTTCAGAACTCACAGTGGCCTGTAACACAAGATATGTAGTGAGTGATATTACGTAAGTTGTATTCTACATCATCAGCACGGTCATTCACAAGTCAATCTAATTATGTTCTCTTACAGTTATAGGGCCCTTTTTGGGAGAAAGGGAACAGAAAAGAATGGTTTTACAGCCAGACAACATGTCATAAAAGGTGACAAATAATGGGGCTTTACTGAAACTGTATGTGCTCGACTGAAAGGTGTAGATATCACGACTAACTGTAAACCACAACATAAAACACCAACAGCCTTTTTCACAGATATCTCGACTAACTGTAAAACATAACATAAATACCAATAACACTTTTATCACAGATATCATGACTAACTGTAAACCACAACATAAAACACCAACAGCTCTTTTCACATATATCATGATTAACTGTAAACCACAACATAAAACACCAACAGCCCTTTTCACATATATCATGATTAACTGTAAATCAAAACATAAAACACCAACAAGTAGAAAGAAAGACCAGAAGATGAGTGGCCTAGCTACTGCAGCTTCCTTCCTATTTTTGAAAGATTAAACCTGTTCTTTACCTTGTTCGATCCTTCAGGTGTGTGAGCTCCACCTGTTTCATTTTCTGAGGAGCTGATGTGTGTGCCTTTGTTTTCTGACTGACCCAAGCCAAGTGTGGTGGGCACACTTCTGCTTTTATTTGACTCCACAGGCTCAGCTGGTGTACCTGATGTTCGTCTCCTCCTTCGCAGCTGATTTCGAGCATCAGTGAGACCTGGGTCACTCCCTGGAATTAGCAAGTAAAAGTAGTTGTCAGACAGGGAAATATGAAGCAAGCGATCAATTTTAATCACATACGGGCACCACAACACTGCACGACAGGCATCGCACCATTTTCTGAATCTACAATTCACACCAACACGTTGGTCACAGTCGAAAAAACATTCCAAATGCAATCCGCAGCTCACAGGGTCATGCCATGCATTCAACTCAGAAGCTGGGCGACGAAACTATACTCAGTTTCTAGAGTCCAGAAGTGGACAAACAACCAAAACAGCCGGTGCTAGATCAAATGGCACACAATAGGTGATGTGGTCAACATATCTTCAGCTACCTTTACTTCTCAGGATATTACCCATTTTAGGCTGATCTGGTGGCTGAGGTCATTTTATACAAATTCATCTTGATGTAGATTCAAACTAGACCTCTGAGCTGGCAGGCAAGAATCAGGCCAATGGGGTACAGCCCCTGCCTGTATCTTGTGTATAGACTATGTATTTCTTCAGGGGATTTCAAAAACCTGACTTCAGCTTCCAGGTCAACCCTCTCAAGATGGGTACTAGGTAATGTCCTGGGAAGTAAGCGCAGCCAGCATGATCATGGCAACATCACATCAGCCATCTTGTGCTGGCTGGCTCATATAAATATAGTGCTAGCATTATATACTCGATATGCTAAAGGTAGGTAAAGGTTCCTTAATTGACTGTGCTAGGAGTATGTCTTGACAACACGAATATTGTAGGGGGAGAGAGGCAGAGGGAGACCAAGAGAGGGCATCTTGGACATTATGAAATCATGATATGGAAGAAGATGTCAAAGAAATGACTGATAGTACATAAGAAGGAAGGTTGTTGACAGTTGTGATAACCAATGAATGCTACATGATATGGACTGAAGCAGCAGCAGAAGAAGAGAAGGAGGAGCAGCAGCAGAAAGAGAAGAATCAAAAGCAGAAGATGAAGAAAAAGAAGAAGAAGAAGAAGAAGAAGAAGAAGAAGAAGAAGAAGAAGAAGAAGAAGAAGAAGAAGAAGAAGAAGAAGAAGAAGAAGAAGAAGAGAAGAAGAAGAAGAAGAAGAGAAGAAGAAGAAGAAGAAGAAGAAGAAGAAGAAGAAGAAGAAGAAGAAGAAGAAGAAGAGAAGAAGAAGAAGAGAAGAAGAAGAAGAAGAAGAAGAAAAGAAGAAACTATTAGAAGAAGAAGAAGAAGAAGAAGAAGAAGAAGAAGAAGAAGAAGAAGAAGAAGAAGAAGGAGGTTCTATAAAAGTAAACTATTAGTTCACATGCGATATAAGAAAATAATGACAATGAATACTGGTAGATTTGTTTGCTATGCTGTAACCATACATAACAATCAGAAGACAACTGATCTGCTCTTTGGAATACATGAACAGAGCTAATTACACAATGACTGGGACTAACATCATTACCTACAAGCTGCCATCACATAAACAAATGAAAGATATATCAGCCGGGTCCAAATGGAGCAATGATGCGCAAATCTAGACTCTTAATGTCTATTAGCCTCTCTTGCTCAAGCTTACCTCACCTTCACGTGGTGGACCCTGTTCTTCCCAGCATTCCAGTTGAAGGGTGGGGTTTCAACCCCCAGCGGGAAACTGGATGGGACAACAAATGAGGTAAAGGCGAATGACGAAGGGATGAGCCTACTCTCCTCGAGTATGACCACAATCTACACTTGTAAAACAAGGTGCTGAAAGTCAGAGGCAACCAGCCAGGAGGCGCACCACAGCAATCAGGATGCCACGCACACACGCCATGGAAAAATGGGCGAACGAAAGAAGAAGAAGAAGGTGTGGCTGATTTGAACAAAGAAACCATTAGGAAGCAAACATACAGGATGTCATGCAGAAGTGGCTGACTGCTGTTAGCATGCTTGCTTGCAACACAGCGGTCAATGATTGAATTATCCCAGATCTCCTACATGTTCTGCCTATATATAAATGTTGTCACTACTAAATTTATTTTTTATGAATACAAATTGCCAAACCTGATGAATTAGTGACAGGCATATTGCTGCTAGATTTTCTGCCAATGGCCAGATCTTTCAAGGGTGAAGGTTTTCTTGTGAGGATTCCAACGACAGATCTGACCCCGCTCCCGTCTGCGGCACTTGCACTACCAGCTTTTTCCACTGTTTCTCCAATGGCAATATTTGTGCTGGCTTTAGAGGTGGTCAGTTTTGAAGCACCTAAAAAAACATGATATATGTCTACATGTATACAAATTTCAACATTCAATTCACAATATACACGCAACAAATCCAACACAAAATTATCAATATATAGTATGTACAATCCAATATAAAACTGGCAATGTAAATTACATAAAATTGAACACAAAACTAGCAATGTACAGCATAAGAAATTAATATGAAACTAGAAACTAGTTCACCAGCCTAATATTATAGAAGAAATATACAGTAAATAGGATCCAACATAAAACTAATAATTTATGAAACATAAGATCCAACATGCGACCAGCAAAGTATTTATATATATATATATAAGATCAAACAGGACACTAGCAAAGTAAAGTATACTTAATACAATAAACAACTATCCCTGTGTGGGTTCTGGGCCCCCATCATGGGGAAAACAAGAATAGACCCTCTGCCTACCCAAAAAGCATGTCGTAAGAGTCGACTAATTGGGGAGCTTCCTTTGAAGTCGGAGTGCATCTGCCTGAGATGCAAGAAACCAACAGTCTGCATTCAAGTGAATCAGATCTGTAAAACTGATGCACACGCAACACTCAGGTTCTGGAGCAGGACTGCAGTTCAGAAATGGACGAACAACCAGAACTTTCCACCAGAGTGTACAGCTGGTGAACGCGAAGAAGAAGAAGAATAAACAACTAGAAATGTATAGTATAAGTAAAAAGTAAAGGACCCTTTTCCATGCCTTAGGGCATATAGGACTAGACCTATATTTTTATAGACCAATCAGCACAAGATGGGTGATGTGGTCAGCATCACGCCTTTACTTTCCCGGGACTGCACCCGGTACCCACTCAAGGCTGGGTCGACCTGGCAGCCAAGGAGAAATGTATAGCATACAGAACCCAATATATAACTAGAAATATACCTGCAATATGTAGCACAAAGAATTTAAAATAAAAACTAGCGACATCGTTCACAAGATAGAAGCCTGCTGAACAGGCATGATAACTAAAGCCACATAGCATGGACAATAAACGGAAGAAGATATGGTCATTTAACTAAGAAAGACAAACTTCAACTCACCATCACTTCCAACAGTAAGCTCTTGAAACCTCAGTCGTTTCCACTTCTCTTCATCTTTAGAGCAAATGTCATCATTAACAGGACCATCTGAATCAGCATCTGAATCTGATGCATTATAGTTGGATACATCATCTGATGGTCTTTCTCCATCAGAAGCATTGAGATGCTCCAAACTTTCATCGAGGGGATCATTCTTCTCATCAACTTCATCGTTAGTTTGAGCTCTGTTTAGCGTTTCAAGCTGACATCCGACAGAATCATTCTGCCGCATCTGAATATTTTCATGAGAATTTTCACTTGCTCTATGTCCTTTCATTAGAGTAGTTCTATCAGACGGTGGAATGTGATGAGTGTCATAACCCTTACGAGAAAAAGATGAGTTTGAGTTTGATGAGGAGATGGAAGCTGATGAAAGACGGTCAGCTGATGAAGATGAGTTCTCAAGATCTGAATGGATCAGCAGCGAAGATGAGCTCATTTCTCTAAGTGTGTCTTCATTGAGAATCTCTTGCACAAACATCTCAGAAAAGCACTGCAACTGTGATGAAGATTCAGACACAGGGGGCTTTGGATTCTTTGATGTAGATGAGAGTGAATCATTCTGCCTGGTAGATGGCAGATTTTCAGTAAGGAGTACTGATGCGTTCAAGGAGTTTTGCGACTGACTTTGCAAGTCACTGACATCTACACATCTCTGAAGACCAATCTGAACATTATCTCCATCATGAAGATCATCTGAAAGCAATGATTTTTGGGATGAGCATTGAGCTTTCAGTGTTGGTGGACTATGTGAATCACTCAAGGAGGATGGCAAATCATTAACAACCTTGAACTGTGAGTCTAGAGTACAGGGTTCATCACAGCAAACCAGTGTCTTTGCAGATGACTGTGAGCTATATTTTGAAAAAGGTTTTCCAGAGGCAAAGCTACAGGTAATACCATCAGAAGCCTCTAATCCACTGATAGAAGAGGCTGGATATTTTTGACCAGAAACACTGTCATACAATTGGATATCTCTAGCATCCTTGCGAAGGTTCGCACTAGCAAAATCTGCAAAGGTCACTTCGTTGTTAATCCCCGAATCACTAGAATCCTGTGATTCAAAGGGTTTTGGACTGGAACCGGCTCCACCTATGCCTATTACTGCCAGTGTTGATCTTTCAGTTGGATTCTGAAGCTCCATGTCAGCTTCCCATGATCTGATGTACAAGTCAGCTGACAAATCAATGACCTTAGCATCTTGATCCAAAGAACTTCTTCCATGGGCCACATGGTCAACTACTTCAAAATCAGACATGCTAAGATTGTCAGAGCCAGATGGAGATTCAAATAAGATGTCACACACAGCGGGACACTCATTTTGAGCACTCTCGCAGATAAATGTAGAACTATCCTGAGTATCTGTAAGTATATTTCTATGACCAGATAATCGTTTGCTTTCACATACACTCAGAGCCAAATCAACAGCTTCATTAGTTTGTGTACATGGCAAAGCATGCCTTGTTGCACCAGATGCAGAAACAATATCTCCTATATCAGGGACTGAGGTACAGGCTTTACCTCCAAGACCATGAGCATCAGTACAACCATAATTGAACTCCACTCTTGAGTTATCTCTGTAGAGAATATCGGACACCTCAGAACTATTACATTTTCCCTCGGAATTTAAACTGACAGTAACATCTGAATCATTCTTCCAGCCTTCCCTATGCTCCCTCATTTTGCTACTATTATCACTGATATGTACACTTATTTCGGAGTAGGTTTTCTCTGCCGTCAGATCAGATGCCATATCCTGTTCTGTGCAGCTACTTTCTGAATTATGTATGTGTGATACAGCTTTCTGATTCTCTGAACAAACAGTGAGCACTCTCCTCCTTGTCATGACAACCACTATGTCTTCTTGAGCCTGTACATGTGTCCTGATGCCAGTTTGAAATCACTTTTGCATCAGTGTATACTACATTGGTTATATGATGACTTGAACAGGACACGGTCACTGTCAATTCATTTGGAGCTGAACTGATGACCTCTGACTGGACAGAATGTTTATCAATGGAGTCAGGCACCATAGTATCAGAACATGGTAAAATAGTTTGGTCCAGATCTGTTTTAGCAGTAGATTCTGAAACTGGACTCAAAGGACGAGAGTCGGCTTCAGCATCTGGGCTCTGATGGTGAGAGCTTCGTCTCCTAGATGATCTCGATGTGTCTGTATTGCCCCCATCCTCTGGACAAGTGCTGTTATTACCTGAAGATCGACCTTTTCTGGCTGCCTTTTTTGGATGAGGCTTACGAGTAACTCTGCAAAAGAAAACAGAATTCAAATACAAGTCTAACTTAAAGACTAGAATAACTATAGCAATTTATCAAAAGCACAAGATAAATTAAGAAATTAAAAAACGGAACGCGTGAGGCCACAGACACAGTACAATAAACCAGTTAACATGTATCACTTAGCACTCAAAAATAGAAGAAGCAGAGATAAGACACATGAAAATCAAAAGCTATAGTTAGTTATCTTTCCCATTTTTATGTTATCTAGTTTGTCCTCTAATCTCTACTTTTCTTCTGTGATTGCCAGTCAATGCATGTTAACTTGTTATCATAACAGGAATACATTTAATAAACTGTCCAAATCTATCTCCTATTTCTATCTATTAAACTGGCATACTCAACCACTGCATCTCAAAGATTTCCCCACATCTCATCTGACTATGTTATGACCTAGTATAAGTGAAGGCCTACTCCACATGCCTACAAAAGTATGTATTATGAACTACTTTTCTTTCAAACTAAGCTAGTAAACTGGTTTTCTATTTATAACAATGAGTAACTAAGTCAGTAAAAATACGTTTTCCTCTATGAGTAAAGGAGAAGAAAGAAAGAAAGAAAGAAAGAAAGAAAGAAAGAAAGAAAGAAAGAAAGAAAGAAAGAAAGAAAGAAAGAAAGAAAGAAAGAAAGAAAGAAAGAAAGAAAGAAAGAAAGAAAGAAAGAAAGAAAGAAAGAAAGAAAGAAAGAAAGAAAGAAAGAAAGAAAGAAAGAAAGAAAGAAAGAAAGAAAGAAAGAAAGAAAGAAAGAAAGAAAGGAAGACAGTGAACATGTACAGTGAAATAGAATACAAGTTTCAAGCTCAGATTTAAGTGAACTCTTCATACCTAAAGTACAGTAAAAACTTCTTACCAAGAACTTGTTTAAGATGAACACTTGGTTAACATGAACAAAATGGTGGTCCCAGCAGAGAAATATTATTGTTAGTCCCCAGTCAGTAATCATATTTTTAATATGAACTCATTTTTTGTTGGGGTCTCTTGGAATTTGTGTTGACTAGGTAGGTATACAACATCCCTTAAATAATGTAAGAAGAAATGTGACCCTGTGTTGCTACTGTCCTTAAGGGTGGCAGAGAACAGTTCACAATAAGACTTACCATGCATGTTACAGAAGGCATACAGGAGGGTTAGCATGAGACTGCATACTTCACTTCAAAGAAAATTACAACTGCAAAATTCAACCAGCTGAGATTTAAGTAAACAAATTAAGTGGGCTGAACTTGTAAAAACATTAGAACACAAACATTTATGCTCAGGCATAAGAAGTAGGACAAAAACATTTATGATAACAACTAGGAAAGTCTGGATCAAAAAAATTACTGCCTAAAATGAATATCGGCACCTGCTGAGAAAACCTGAGAATAATATAACAAGAATGTCCTTACGCTGAAACCAACAGTGTCTAAGGAATAAAAGGAGACCAAAAAGCAGGGAAAAGAGAATAAGAGATTGAGGTGAATAAGGTATGGATCGGTGTTCACCAACTTTTTTAAAGCTGTGGGCCAGCAAAAAAGGGAACAATTTTTTATGGACAAGCTGATAGCTAACTAAAAAACACAAAAATAAACATAAATGTAGTTAGGAGTTTATTTGTTAAATCCGATATCTCAAAATTAAAATTACTATTTGATTTATGTGGCTGGAGCATTATTTCTGATGGACACATTGCTGCAATAAAATGCATTAATTCCTTTGGTTTTTATTACTGTTAAAAAGTCATTTCACACAAATAGGTCAGCAGCAAATGATGAGAGAAATTATGAACTGGCATGATTTTGTTCAGGGTTTGTGAAGTTTTTTGCTGAGTTTGATCCATTGGAGGAGAAGAAGAAAAATGGTTGAAGAAATGAAACAAATGCAGAATATATCACCTTAAAGCAAGTTTCTAGGTACAGAACAAGTTAGTAGTACTTCACTCTTCCTGTACAAAGCAATACACCATACATTTACTGCTAACTTCATACATGATACTGTTCTCTTAAATACTTGTATCAAACTCATCTTAACTGTATCAGCAGCACTCATTTGAAACCATTTCCATGGTTCTATTATAAAAGCATACAGGACACATAAGCAGATGTGGCAGAATAAAACAAATTGTATATGAATTATGCACCACAGGTTGGACAGAAAATTTGCCCTAGGCATTCAGACAAGCAGGTAGCATTTTTTTGTTCTTTCTGTTGCAACAATTTGTACTTAACCAGGCCATGGGAGATCCTTTGTAAACTCACATCCTTCGCAAAACATTTGTGCCATCTTTTCGTGCCCTCTTCTAAACACATTTGTTACTGTACCCTGCCCGCATTCTTCAATAAATATCCATTGCTCAACATCATCAAAATAAACTTGTTTCATTGTGTTTTAAAAAAAAAAGAAACTGAATCACCGCTCTGATTATCTCAATGGTCAGAAACAGAAACTATACATCATATGATGATCAGCACATGCTCTTTTATTCATTGGTATTACTATCACACAACTATGACATCAACGAGTTTAAAATTAATGCTCATATTTTTACTCTTTCTATCGAATATGGTTATTATCAGAACTTGTTTAGTCTTAATATTCATTAGTTTCAGGTAACAATCTCTTCGACTGAAACTGTCCAATTAAAAACTGTCTGCAACTAAAAGAGTAAAGAAATTTAATAAAGTCAGTCATGGAAAACAATAACGAGAGTAAATAAAACATCTGCACCTACCCAGAAATATTTTTCGTGCGTTTTGGAGGTTTGTGGTTGATGTGGGCCAGCACAGTTTGGGAATGAATTAGACACAGCAGAAACATCAAAATAATTGGTAATACCACCTCAGTAAAACACATCTCCTGTAGAAACAATCAAGGATTTAATTAAAGAAACCAAAATATAGGTAAAATAGACTACTCCCTGCTTACTTTTTGTATAATAAAGGTTTTAAGATTGAGAGCACTAACTTCACTGCACAGGCATAAATCCAAAATGGCTCAGTCACTATCTACAAAATGACTAGGTATCTGCCGAAAGCAAAATACAAAGCAAAAAAAAAAAACTACTGCTCCAGTTACGAATGTTAGGAGTTTCTATACAAATGAGCATATGGCCTAATCACTTAGCCAGGAAGACCATGATTCTATACAATGTACTGTGAAAGCTCTGGTAGTTACATGAAATATTTAAGAACAATAAAAGCAGGCTCTTTTTATGCCACTGGTACAATAGGCATACAGCTGCAGACCACAGTATTGACCAACCAATAGGCACTTGATGGGTGATTTGGTCAACACCACTGACACTTTGTAGGAAATGTCTTGGCATCCATTTTAGGCGGGTTGACTAGGGAGTCCAGGTCAAATTCAGAGAACTGACTTAATGTCAATTCAAACTCAAAGAATTCAGGCCAGAGGGCAAGAGTCCGACCATTGTGTTACCATGGCTTCCAATTATCCCGATGCTTATGTAAAATCTTCTGTCCATTCTACTAGCTTGTAAATTATGTATGATACATGGATGTGGTATAGATGATGTCTAAGAACAAGGAGAAAAGGTCAAGTTAGTAAGTCTACAGATCATCCTCACTATACACTGTACTGTTCAGTCCTCGGATCCCCCCTTTAGTAAACCCTGCAGTAGGTAACCGTTGACCACACAAGTTCTTCAACTTACCGCATAGGGCTCCTGTTTTGTGTCACCTCTTTTATCTTGCCTTCTGATAATGCTAGCAGAATCAGTCTCTACTTAGTTCACACAAAAGTCTTTTGTACAACACTCAGAAAATCAGCCTGGTCCATTGTTTGTTCACTCTCCACAGAAGCCCTACCTGCAAGCCTTTCAGCTTGTTCATTTACTGCAACATCTGCATGCCTTGACATGAAAATGAAACTGATCTTTGCCAGCTGTGATCGTCTATGACTCAAACCACTGTCTTCAGGCCCAGCCCATATCTATCTTCTACAGTATACTGATTGAGTCAATGCTTTCATTACTGCCGAGAAAAGTCTAACTGCACATAAACCAGTGACATTATAATGATATAATGACCACAATGTGTGTGGTTAAGTATAGTTAAAATCAGCATAAAAGGAAATGAAACCCTTAATAATCCAGTTTCAGGCAAGCAAATGAGGGTTCAAAGTCAGAATTTTCCTGCGTGAGTTTAAACAATGAGGTCACAAACAAGTTTACAATTGTAATTTAGTTTAATAGGATTCTATATTGGCAGAATAAAGAGACAGCGGGGAAACAGAATAGCAGATCGATACACATTTTTACATACATATGTGTCAAAAGCCTCTGGAACCTGGCAGTTCAGGTACCTTTAGCCCCCATTCCCTTTTCTGCAAGTTGAAGTTAAGCCCCCCCCCCCCCCCCCCCACCCCCAATTGGAAAGATAATAATGATAATCACTGTAATATCAGCAAATAAATTACTAAAGCAATCATAGAGAGAGAGAGAGAGAATTCTACACACAATTCTATGTAACAGGAGAGCATGTGAATGAATACCTACATCTTCCATGATGCTGTGGTCAACATTCCTCAGGTAGACCAGGACAGTAGCCACTTGTAGTATATAGAGTACCAGCAACAGTGCATACAACCTCTTTGATGTTTGATGCACCCACCTGGAGATATGGGCTGAATAGTTAAATCATGTGCATCCATCACATAAACTGCACAGGGTTTTTGTCAGGGCTTATTTTTCTGTCTGTTTGCCCTTAAATGGATGGTCAGCAGATTTTTGTGTTGTGGTTTATGGTTAGGCAGCAATATCTGTGCCTTATGGTTCCACACACCAGATCTTTGCAAACCTTCAAAAAAGATGCCTTTTACTACTACTTCTTTTGCATTTGTCTTTAAAAGGGCAGTTGGAAAGCTGTGATGTGGTTTACAGCTAGGCTGAGATATCTGCATATTTCTGTCCAATACATATGATTTCAGCAAACTCCTAATCATATACCTTCAATAACAAGATTGTTTGGGGCAATAGGTCATTAGGTCATACTCCCCACTCCCCAAATGCAGCCCGTGAACCCATATGGAAAGGTCGACATGCATCTTAATGGGCAGTGGGTCTAGTCTGTTTTCCTCCCAAAATTGGGGCCCCAAATCCACATGGGAGCTGTCAGGTTTAAGAGATTTTTTGTTGACAGCCTAAATTATGAACTATGGATTTGACTTTACCATTCTTATAGTCCCTGTCATGTGTTGTTAGACATGCCTGTTCATAGCTTTCTGACATGTGTACTGCCAATCTTTTCTGATACAGATTTCTCCCATGCCATGGTGCCTGATCATCCAGCATTCTCTCTCTGGGCAGTCCCCTTGTCTCTCTTCTCCATCAACTTTCTCACTGTGCTTGAATTATTCTTATTTCCCATTTCCAAAGAAAGTGAATACTTCTCTGGTGTGGGCATAAGTTCTTTTGTGTGTGTGTGTGTGTGTGTGTTTTTGAGTTATTTCTTATTAGATCTCTGAAAAAAAATAATTAAATATGTCCCTGGTGTTCTCCTAATTTTTCTGTAAAATGCAGTTTTGTTTTTTGATGACTGTTTTCTTGTTGGGATTTTGCTTGTATTCAAACTGCTGACTTGTAAATATCTGTGAGGGGTTGTGTGATGTAATAATACTTTTATGAGAACTGCATAGTGTTGCTGACTATTTAACATAGAGTACTGATTATTTAACATAATGCACTCCCCCCTCCCCCATCTCTCTCTTTCTCTTGTTTGCCTTATTTTCTTCCTCTCAACGTTCATCTCTTTCTCTCACATACACAGCCCCACATCAACAAGTACAAACAATTACATAAAATGAAACAATAACAAACTACCACATCCAACATACCAGGTGTAGTAGAATGGGAAGAACAAGACTCGAGCGACTGCCTTTCTTGTGATGTAAACCCAGGGCACCTGTGGCTTGGTCTTGGCAAATGTTGATCCTGATGTTCACAAACAAAGTATCAATCATTCATAGTGACAGCAGCAGAGAAAAGTCACAGACTAGCAGCTGAATAAACACTGGATGCTCATATTTAGAAACAGGATATTTAAAGATGAGAGAGTTGACCTCACTGAACAGGGTTTTTATACCACATGGCTTGGTCTCTGTCTGTCTGTCTGTTAGTCTGTCTGCAGAGTGTTAACTGCATAAATCAAACAACTATAGCCCCAGTTGGAGGAGTAGCAGAAGGAGGAGTAGCAGGAGGAGGAGGAATAGGAAGAGGAAGAAAAGGAGGAGGAAGAAGAAGAAAAAAAAGAAGAAGGAGGAGGAGGAGAACAAAAGAAGAAAAAAGGAGGAAGAAAAGGCAGATAAAATAAAAGGAAGAGTAGTAGAAGGAGAAGAAGATGAAGAAGCATCAGCTGGAATGTTAACAAAGAAAACAATGTTACCAAGGGAAAATAACGACCAACAGTGAAAATCACAGTAAACTAGAGAGACCAACAACACATTAAAAAAAAGAATCATCAAATGTTATATGTACCCTATTTTATATGGTGCAGAAACCTGGACAATGAAAAAGCAACTAGAAAATCAAAATAAGTAGACGGAAATGTGGGGTTTGCAAAAGAGTATACAGAAGAATAGGCCATATTTCATGGACACAAAAACAGTCCAATACAGAGGTTCTAGAAAGACTACAAATAAAAAGAGAATTGCTGAAATTAAGAGACAATTGAAATACTTTGGCCACATTAAAAGACAACATGCTTTTAAAAACCATACTGGATGGAAAGGCTGAAAGCAAGACAGCAAGAGGTGGGCAATGATACAAGTGTAAGGGCAACATCAAGAGATGAATGGGCAGCAGTGTGAGAGTGTACAACCAGGACAAGAGATAAGGCATGTTGGAGATCCACTGCAGCTAACTTTCACTGTGGAGATGGCACCTGATTGATTGACTGATTTATAACAAAGAAAAACCAGAGATCTTTTAGGGAAAAATACATTTTAAGGAAAACAGCTGGTCACAACAATGTATAACCTTCACAATTTATACCGATGTAGGGTAAGCTTGCATAAGTGAGTAGTTGAGATTTAAATGATAAAGACATGCGCTTACAGATTGTAAAGAAAAAAATCACGAAAAAAAGATTGCTCACATTTAAAACAGATGATATGGTAATCCCTAGAGAAGACTGAATCCTTACCAAAACCATTGCCATAAATTAGTTTCTAATAACATTTAACTTGCTGACCCAACCAACATATTCTAAAAAAATTACAAATATTTACCCACCATAATACTATATATTCTTTGTCATATGAAAGGTTTCTGGGGCAAATTGGTACAGCTTATTTTTTGCCTCGGCCTATGATATTATACATTTTTGGCCTGCAACATTCGGTTTATATATATAAGCAACTTTTGTGAAGAATCCTGGGACTTTGCTATGTGAGGCATATTTGGCAGGTGGCTAGCTGCTCTGTGGAGAGAGACTGAGCCATATGGAATACAACTGAGTGTGATGAATTCAATCCTCTCACTTTAAATATTTTCTACATTGTTGCCCTAACATGTCTCATTTGCATTTTACCTGTGTGTTGACACCTCATGACACACATAGCTTCTGTGATTTAACTGGCTGTCATCATTTATTTAAGTAATGCAGACACGGGTTTGCATCTTCTGCTTCTTGTAGTAAATAGTGTGGAACAGGTAATCATGGCTATTCAAAGCCTTCTGTCTTCACAGGATCTGGCCGATACCTGACACTCAAGTGAAGACAAGACGGATATACAATCAGACAGTTATTCTTGCCATCAGAATTGGAACTCTGTGCTCGCTGCTGAAGATGGGGACCGAGTGCTTATGGGAGTGTTCCAGGTGCTATGATGTTGATTATTAATGCAACATTAAGCCTTCTGTCTTGTGGACTGTCAATCATGTCTGACACAGATGACACAAATATTCTTACATGTCAAGTAAAACTACACAACCATTTGTGTATATGTGGCACAGCAAGCATATGGTGCTGGACATTATTTCTACAGACCAATCATATGTGTGAACATTCCCTGCCACACTGACTTCCCGGAATTCTTCTTCAATGCCATGATGCCAAAATTGTCCATTACATATTCTTGTCATTTGCCTCTCTTCTCCTACAATTGTCCTGTTACAATGCCATACTCCAGCTTTCCCTTATGACATGACCAAAGAATAGAGAGACATGTATGCAAAGATAACGTATGAGGTGCATAAATGCAAATAAAATACAGCAGACAAGCAAGCTACCTCTGATAAGATCAACATCGATATACTCTGTCTTGAGTCGGACCTTCTTTCGTGGAGCATTGTGCAAGACAAACTGCGGCTGCTGCAAAAAGAGAGAAAAATGAAATTGTTGGTCACAATGACTGGACTGTTACAATTTGGTTCATTTCAATATAAGATAAGATAAGCTGGGACACATCCTGGAATAAGTGAATCATTTAGTCTTGCAGCAGTGCACACTCTCAACAATCAAGCAGGACAAAACAAAATCTTCTACATTCACAGACTCGCAGTTGGTCCTCCAAGCCATCTCGTGCTCCATCAGGAATCAGGAGTTTCTCTACAGAACATCACTCTCTTCATGGCATGCCTGGTAGTCTCTCTATCTCTAGCAAATTCTCTAGCCCACATCTCTGGACTACTAGACCCAGAGCAGACAGGCAAATGTAAGATCCACATATATTTTCAAATATATTTTAATTATTCAGATTTTTTTCAATGTTTGTTTCCTTCAACTAAGAGAATTAATCACTAAATCCCAGTATCAAAGCTGTTACATAGTCATAGTGGCCACTCTCCAAAGACTTCATCTTATCAAAATCCCACAAATGTCAGAAAAAAAGGCTTTCTCAGGGCAACCCCATCATAGCTATCCTGGTCGCTTCTTACAACATGAATGGGAGGTCACAATATTACTATTCCTTGGTTCATGTAACCCTCTGGCACTAGGAACACTAAACAAATGTAACTCATGACCTTGTTAAAATTCCAGAATTTTTTTTTAACATAGGGACTAATAAATGTGTTAAAGATTTATTTACCTACATTTGTTAATGTTTTTTTGAAACATTTAAAGATTTATGAAGGAAGTAATCAATAAACATGAACAGGGTGAATTATTAAATAAAATACATTCCCCAGGGCTTACAAAAACATATGTAATGGGTAACTCATGCTGTGACCACATGACCTTCATTAGTGAGGCATGCGGGAACAGTTTACACCAACTCAACTTGGCTTTAAAAAAGCTAACTCAACTTGGCTTTAAAAAAGCTATCTGGCTCTAAGTTTTTTTAAAAACTTAAATGCTATTTTAGTTGATGTGTTCATATCCTGACCTCCTAAATGTTTATAAAGGCATGAAAATGCAGTCTCCTGAACAGGTCACTATAGACCAGTCAGAAAGTGCCGTTTACATGGAATTTGACCCACCCACAAAAGTTTGGTTTTGTGGCTTCTTGGGGTGAAGGGGTTAAAGATCCTAGTAATACAGACACCATTTAATGTAGTGTGCTGGACTGAACTGAATCCACAGAAGTGGCAGGATTTGTTCCTAACAGTATGTCTGTAAGGTCCACCTAACTTCATACAACTGGGTACCAGACAATCCCCAGCTTTTTTGAAAATGTCTGGGAATTAAAGGTAGTGAGGACAGGAACTGACTATCCCACCTCTTGTGTCATGGCCTAATGTCAGCATCTGAAGTATGTTTACCACGATAATACAGAGAACATTGGGATAGTATATGAAACACTGAAGGAGCATTTACAAGACTTTAGACTAAATGACATGGCTCATGATTAGGATGGATAAAAGACTTGTGTTTGTTGAAGACCCATCTTATGTTTGATTGTGTACCTCATTATGTTGTATGTTACCTTAAATATGCATCAATGGTGTGTAGGAAAGACTTTTTAACCCTATAAAGTCAAATGCCCAATAACAATAAGGTTAGCTGCGTATCCTTTACAGGACGTTGCAGAACCAACCCCAGCAGCCCCTGGCTGTTGTGTGGTTTATCTAGGCAAGTTTACGTCCAGTAGTTTACCATTGCTTTCTAGACGGTCGGCCTCCTGATACCACTGTCGAAACCAAAGCAAGGCGCATGGCCTGCAGCTGGGATCGAACCCGGAACACGGGCTTTACGAAGCGTTCGCATCGACTTAGTCACAGAGCCGACGCTCAATAACAATACAATTGCTCAATTAATCAACAACTAGATCCTGATAGGGAGAACATGAGTTTTTTTTTCTTCAAATCACCTTTTGTAGCTTTTTCTCTACAGATTGCTCCCAGAGCTGTTTGTCATATGATCCAATCTGAGGACAGAATAAGGCATATAATTAACACACACACTTGCAACAAATCACGGTTAAGCAGTATGTTAGAGAGTTGACTGCTAGGCAGATCTGTTTGTCAAATGATCCAATCTGGGGACAGAATGAGGCAAATAATTAACATATGCACTTTCAATAAATATTTTAGGGCTGGGTTCCCAATGTTGGCTTTGTGGCCCCATTTTGTGGGAGGGTGGGTTGGGGGGGGAGACCCACTGACTGCCTCCCTAACAAGCATGTCATAGGAGCAACTTCTTAAGGTGTTTCTTTTGAGGTTGGAGTGCATCTGCCTGAGAGGCGAGGATTCTACAGTCTACATACAAATAAACCAGATCTATGAAATGGATGTGAACACAAAACTCAAGTTCTGGAACAAGACAAAAGACCAGAAGTAAATAAACAACAGGACTTTCTGCCTGAGCTTACAGTCAGTGAACACCAAGAATAGAAGAAGAAAAGGAAGAAGAAGAATCTCACTGTATTGGGTTTTATCCCCTATGATTCAGTAAGAAGAAGATGACACTGGTTGAAGTCCAGAGCTATTATTGGTTGAAGTCCAGAGCTATCGAAGTGTGGAAAAATCATGGCTCTGCTATGAGTTAAACTTTGACTGAAGTAATAAATGTGAAAGAGGTTGGTGAAATGTTAAAAGACTTCATTTGGTTACAATGTCTCTTTCAGAGTTTGGAATACTGTCAGCATTTTAAAAAAAAAGTAATTGACTTTTTCACATAAAGCATATGGTGCCAGACCCACACTCTGGTAGACCAATCACTTAATGGGTAATGCAAAAGACATCATGCCAGCCACCTTTACTTCCCAGACATTTTCTAGTATCTACTTTAGCTTGGTCTAAGCTCAGAGCCAATGTCAATTATACAAATTTACTGTGATATAAATGAATATGAACCCCAACTTTCGGGCTGGCAGGTAAGAGTCTAGCCTCTGCCCTTCAGTGTTTCTCACATGTCTACTAAAACATGGTACAGTGTACGGATACAAAGAAAACATACGGCTTCACTGTATCTTTAAGGGTTTGAAATACTAATGTCAGCATGTGTCTCAACAACTCATGTGCTTGACACAATATGAAGCAGATACTGCACAATGAGGCCCAAAACAACCTTAATGGCAGATGCACAGGAGACCTCAGATGAATTCTTCAGAAATGTAATGGGAAATGTTACAGACTGATAATAATAACATAATGACTACATAGCTGTATTGACACTAATGGTACTTATTCTTTTAAAGACTAATGAGTACTTAGTGGGTGATATGGTTGGTCCACATCATGCAGGTCTTCTTAGGTCCAAGGACATAACTTGGCACCCATTTAGGCTGGGTCGACCTGGGAACCAAGGCAAATTCAGAAAAATACAAATCACTCTCAATAGAGATTTGAATTCAAGAACTCCAGGCCAGGAGGTGAGAGTCTAGCACAGGGCCATTCAACTAAACTGACTCAGGGTCCAAAATGTTGGAAAATGGAAACTGTTGCAGGCCAGTGGCCTTTGCCCCAGTATAGAATGATCATTAGTACAAGAAAATCGGCAGGGATCTGCGGGCAACTTGCTAGGCCTCCTCAGGCCAGATTTGGCCTGCAAGCCACCAGCTGAATAGCCCTGGTTTAGACCCTATGCTATCACAGCTCCCTTAACCCTCTGGAGATGGAGCCTTTATGGAGTTTCAGTGCCAAAAAGACAAAGCCTTCAGGAGGGGATTATCAGTTTATACACACAAATTATTTAAAAAACGAGTTTAATTAAAATATAGAAAACTAGATATTTGTGTAGGAAATTGAAAGAGCTAACAGAATATTTATGAATCAAACTTAAATCTCAATATTTATTCTTCTTCTTCTTCGCGTTCACCAGCTGTAAACTCTGGCCGAAAGTTCTGGTTGTTCATCCACTTCTGGACAGCAGTCCTGTTCCAGAACCTGAATTAACTATTCTGATTTGCATAATTTATGCAAGCATTTTTTTTATACTTGGGAACAAACATGACTAACCTAAAAAATATGGATGCATTTTTTTATGGATAAAGCTTGAATAAGTCCTAACACTTATGTTTTGGAAAGTAAGGCCCCTGGAGGCCTTTCAGACACTTCTGGCACATGGTTCTACTCATTTTCCTACCTCTAGGTATGTTGCGGTTGCTATGACGCAACAGTCCTTTTTGCCATAGTTGGGCACAGGTAACCCCAGAAAACAATTTAAAATTACGGAACATATCAAACTTTCTCGAAACCCATCAGTGAACAGCACACATGTGCAAGAAATGCGAGAAGCAGTCTAACTGGCTGGTAAGGAAACATGCCAGCCAATCTCAAGGCTTGTATTACCTAGGGCCGACTGATCAGCCCAGTCATCCTTTTGGCTACCTGTGTGGGGCCAATATTTCGGCCGTGTTGTCTCCAGAGGGTTAAGAGACTTAACTAGAAATAATGAAATGTCATTTAGAATACATGATAAGCAAACATAGCAATACAGTAACACACATTACCTCAGTGATTCAACAAAAGACAATCAATGTGATTCAAGGTACATACAACCTTCCATTTAAAACAAATTACACCAACCACCAAACTCTATACTAAATTTATCTCAGGGCAACATACATCACACAACAATGAGTTCAGAAACTCATATCACCTTACTGCCTGTGTGGGTTCCTGGGTCCATTATGGGAAGAAAAGGATAATACCCACTGCCCTCCCCTTTCCCCAACTCCACACAAACATTTCTTAAAATGCACTGATTAGGGGTTGGCTGAAATCTAATGTTTTGGGAAGAAAGCTACAGATTTGCAGTCTAGTCCTTTACCATAACACAATGTGCCAATCACTACTTTATTGGCCCAAAAAAAGGGGAAAAAAAGAAAGAAGAATAAAAAGAAGAAAAAGAAGAAGAAGAAGAAGAAGAAGAAGAAGAGGAGGAGAAGGAGGAGGAGGAGGAAAAGGAGAAGAAGAAGAAGAAGAAGAAGAAGAAGAAGAAGAAGAAGAAGAAGAAGAAGAAGAAGAAGAAGAAGAAGAAGAAGAAGAAGAAGAAGAAGAAGAAGAAGAAGAAGAAGAAGAAGAAGAAGAAGAAGAAGAAGAAGAAGAGAAGAAGAAGAAGAAGAAGAAGAAGAACAACAACAACAACAACAACAACAACAACAACAACAACAACAACAACAACAACAACAACAACAACAACAGCAACAACAACAACAGCAACAACAACAACAAATCTTATTTCCACAAATAATTAAGTCCAGCAACAGTAGTCACCAAATACTGGTCTAGCACCATACACATGATGCAACAAGGGCAGGAAAAAAGGCCTTCACTTACTTCACTTAAGTGGGGAAATACATTTTGTGATAACTGGCAAGTCTGAAGGGAAAAAAGAAAAAAAGAAGACAAAAAGATAAAACAGCTGGTTGGCAGCTTGATTACATGGCATGGACGAGACAAGAACATAGATCCGTTCTATGATTCTAACGATCATATGCGATGATGGACCACAGGCATAGTGTGTGAAGTCTAATGTATATGTAAGAATACAGGAAATAAACTTGCAAACTTAGTAATAACTGGAAAACTTGAAGGAAAAAAAAAAGAATAAATGGCCACTGCTGCTACCATCATGCTAGGTCTCCCAATGCAACAACCATAAAGGTGTTAATGTGCTGAAGGAGACTGTGTCCATCTGTGTGGTCTTCAAAGTCCTGGACCTGCAGGCTGCTCCCAAAGAGAAGGTTCAAATGTCCACTACCATTGGCCCCACTCGTCAAAGTATTCGGACTTAACAAAAAATCATGCCTGATGCAGAATGTACCCTTCTGTGTGGTCACTGAAGTCCTAGACCTACAGGCATCTTTCTGTTGACCTTCAAAGGGAGCAGCCCATGATGAGTGAGAAGCTTAACATACATATATGAGGTTATGCAGTCATGTGCAGGACAAGATGATTCCATGGGTGAGCCCAGGATCAGTGCTTCATGTGTTGGGTCTGTATTTATGGAAGCCTCCTTATATGGCAGAAAATGCCCATGATCTGCCCCCGACTTTCCTTGAGTGCCGACCTGTCTACACATGGTCGCCCAGGATACATTCTGCTTTATCAACACTTGTAGATAAAGGCACAAAGAGTACACCCCACAAATAAGGCTACGTTATGTCCCATAACACCAACTGGGAAGGTGAGCCCAGTAAACAAATGCCCATTGAAGTTGGGTGTGTCAGCCGACAGGTGCAAATATCGCAGCTTTGCTGTAAACAGGCACAACGCAGCTACATCACTCGAACAAACTATGAAGAAGAAGAAGTACACAGGGAGATATGGACTGCAAGATAGCTTTCATCAAAGCTACTGGCCTCCTGTTATAAGCTTTTTGAAAAAAGGACCAAAGAACAAGAAGAACAGGAGGAACTAAAGTCAGAATTTGGGTAAATCTAACAATCAAATGGAACACATGGAGATCAAGAAAAAAAAGTTATAACTTTTAAAACTAACAAATCATAGTGAGTTGCTTGGTAGTGAATGGGTTAACAGTACACATGTGAAATACTCACCTTAGTCTGGTACCATGCTATAGCGTGATGAACATTTTCCATCCCTTGTAGGCCCAAACAGTAGGGAAGTTCTGGTCACCAACAACTCTATAAGCAATATGTTCCAGTTTCCAAGGATTTCAAATAAAACAGTCTATATTATAATAAACTACAAGCGGGCAGCAATTTGCTCAGTAGCTGGAACTTGTGACTAGTTTCTCTAGTTCAAATAGTAGTTATCCCACCTGTAGATAAACAATAAAAATGAAGTTAGTTGAGACATATTACATAAGAATATAATTACATATGAAGGCTAATAGACTGTACTGGTTGCAGGATATAGAGACAGAGAGAATGGCATGGTATACAGAGTGTCAACATCTGTGTACAAAAGAGAAGAAAATGAAAACATCAGCACGCAGACCAAGAAAATAGTGGATACATGCAGACCTATAAAAGACCTACAAACACTTGGAGATACCAACTGGTTAAAGAAGGCCAATCACAGAGATGAATGGAGGCAGGTGATGTCTGCAGCAATGAATCTCACAGGCTCAGAATGCTGAACTTCCTGTTCTTAAGGTAACATGATCAACTTTATCACACAATTTATTACCACACATGGCTCAGTCTCACTCAATAGAGAAGGAGTTCACCTGCTGAGAGCCTCACAGAAAGCACATAACTAGCTTCGCAGCTCCAGCAATGACCCCCCAGGGATCTCCAAAACACATGCACTCACGAACAAAAGAAGGAACTCTGACACTGGAACCCACAACCTTTAGAGTTATTTTGACATCAGGGAGACCTCCTTCTAACACAACAATGTCATAGCAGGATATTAATGAGTCAAAACATACCAGATTCCCACAACAGACCAGAATCCCAAAACAGACCAGATTTGCACAACAAACAGGATTTCCACACAGCTGTACTGACAGACTGTCATCAGTGTCATTACAAGAGGTCATTTTAGACAGGTCAAAAATGGATATGGGGGGAGGTTGTTGGTGTGAACTTTAGCTACTGACTTTCTGTCTGACTACATGAACAGTGCTAAACTAGTTGGATCCAGTATTTATATAGCAAAGATGTAAACTTAGCAATGTTCAACTGTTAAACTGTATGTATGTTTATTATATACAATGTTTCTATGGCCTCAATGGTCACCCCTTTGTTTTTGTTTTTCAAATGTGAACTGCGTATGACAAACATGAGATGACGTAGTGCTTTGACTGGATGCTAGACTGCTGGCCTAAAGAACTTGGGTTCAGATTCACACTGAGCCAGAAATTGTATTATTGGCCTGGATTCAATCGTCCACACAACCTAAAGAGCATTCAATGAAGTGAACTGTAGAGTCTGTTATATCTCGATCTATGTTAAGCCTCTGTCTGTCTCATTATATTTATATATGTGTGTTTTTAGGTCAGCGTCTGGCTTAGTCGTTGCGAAAGTGCTTTATAATTCCGGGGTGCCAAGTTCGGTGCCAGGTTTGATACCAGCTGGGGACAATTTGTCTTGCGTAGGTTTCTACAGTAGTACCGAGAGCTGACCATTCAGGGAGCAATGGTAAACTACTGAACGTAAAAATTTGCCTAGAAAAACCATAAAAGCCAGAAAATTACAACGCCCTGTAAAGGATACGAAACAAACTTTAAAAAAAAATGTTTCTATAGTTCTCTTTCTGTATCTCTGTCTCTATATGTATCCCTATGTCTGTCTTTCTCTCTGTCTATGGCACTCTGCTTCTCTTACTCTCCTCTCCAACCGGCTGTAGCAGGAATCAAAACCCTCGATCTCAAGCTGGCCGATTGATACAGAACATGTTAAAATTACCACCACCCACCTCCACCCGACCACAGAGCACTGTGTGAACCGCACAAGTCTTCAGTAGGTTTCAATTAGGACTAGCCATGGAACACAAGGCAACGCACCGCTGTGAATTCAGTACAAATACACCTGGAATAGACATCTAAAGGAAAATGCCTGGTTATTCCTTTCTGTTTTTCCAACAGTTCATTTCCGCGCCTTGCCAACTAACGAAACTGCCATACACAGATCTCCCTGGAAAATACGGCTTATGGTGGTATGGAGAAACGGGAATGGGAGACGCGCGGAAGTAAAAGTTCCTTCTCTGAGATTAATACACTATCTACATCACAGTGTATGTTACAGTCCGCTCTAAAAGTCGTATCCATCTGTAATCGTTCGGTATAAACTGTTGAAATTTGGTATGCAGCCCGATAATAACCATGCTATTGCTGTAGGAAAATTATAAAGCAAACAAATAAGTAGTTTTTACTTGGCCTTATTTGCGGTACACGAAAAACAGACACAGATTCAAAGCTTGTTTACAGTTAATGGGGTGAAGCGAACTTTGAAAAGAAAAAAAAAGAATCAAACTGCATAAGTTTTACATGTAATCTGTGCAAAAACCCAGGCGCACTTATTTTGAATAGTGAATGTACTGTCATAATTTCATTCACAAAAATATAACTCAATTCACAGACGTTTCATGCTCAGGTGGTCCATCTTCTGCACCAAGTAAGTTAATGAACACAGTATTTCACTGTATGCGGAATAGGTTGTCAAAATAGTCAACATACATCGCTGCATATTTTAATGATTTCCTAGCAATCTCCACACTTGTGATTTAAAGTAAACGATTTGTGTTAATTATCGTATATTCTATTTTTTTAAAGGAGTACACAAATTCCAGCCGTATCACCGCTTTGAGAAAAACGGCAGCACCTGTGCAATGGCAAAATATAAAAATCATAAGGACATGGCAAATCTAAAACCACAAGCACAAATTCGAATTGATCCATAAATGTCCTTTTCGTTCTTGATATTTGATCAAGTTTGAGGGCACACCGTTCGAAATTATTATAGTTGTTGAGGTTTACAGTAAAAAAAAAGGTAACAACTCCGTTGCTGAACCAGCGTATGTCCAAAACACATACAATGTCCAAAACTTAAATAGACTAGACAGCAGTCTAGGAAAGGTCAACAGCAGTGCTAATCAACGTGTACTCTCGGATACACATCCTGTGACCTTTGTGTGTATTTTATTCATCGGTACAAACATCTGGTAACCGCAAAAACGTATTTCTTGTCTGCCTCCAGACACAGAAATCTCGGGTTCCGAAATCCAAACTCACAACATTTAGAACACAAGTGAAACAGTTTAATCCAGTGTGGTGCTTTAAGGATCAAGTTTAACAGATTCGCTGCGGTGGGGGAAAAGGAAGGGGGGGGGGGTACTATATGGTGCAACACTGTGATTGTAATATTTACAAATTATATAATAAATTCTTCAATATGACTTTTAAAATGCATGGGGTCCGTGCGGATTTACAGAAACAAGGAGACCCGCACGCCTTGCTTATCTAGCCTAACATCTAGATTAACCTGTGTGCCTGAGGGACTCAATTTGTTTTGTGGACTGAAACACCTCTTCTTGGGTTTGGGGCGGACTTTCTGCGTGTCAGCAGATGTAAGAAAACTACGTAAAACTAACGCCGCCTTTGGGTCATGACGAGCGAACTTCTACCCCACCTTTCCAATTAGAGAATGTCATAAACAGATTAGGCCGTGACACTGGTGTAATGAAAGGATACGTATGGTTCCAGGGTAGTTATTTCTTTAACGGCTGAAGTAAACTCGCAACTTAACCCATTCAGTACAAATCGCCATATCTTACGTTTATTGACAACCTCATTAGATTACATCTCTTCTTCTTCTTCTTTTTCTTCTTCTGCCTTCTATCCCCCAACATGGCATAGGCCCTCAACCACCTCACGCCAAGTCGTTCTATCATTCATTATTGCAAGTAGCTCTCCTCAATTCCTCCCCATCTTTGTAACATCCCTCTCTAGATCCCTTTTTCATGTGTGTGTGCGCGCGAGAGCGCGCCCGCGCTCTTTTTGCCTTAAAAAAAAATATGTCATTGTGGGTTCTAGTGCAAAGACATTCTAAATATACTGTCTTCAGGTTTTCTCAACGTGTGTCCTATCTAACGTCCAAGACTTTTCTTCACCTCCTGGTCCATTTGAACTTGTTTGTTCTCTCACATGATTTTATCATACAATTTATTCCCTCTGTTATGCGCAGGCACCAGTTAATGAGTGTTTGTAGTTTATTATTACCTACCTTGGTTGTTCTCCATGTTTGCGCACCATACAACATTACTAATTCGACATAAGAATTAAAAATTGTAATGTCATTTATTATATTCATTTGCATTCTGTATGGATTGAGTTTTGCCGTTAATCTCATACTGGATGACCTTGGCTCCAAGGTCGACTTAGCAAGAAGAAGATCCAACGAATATACAACTGGGGCAGCTGTAACGGTTACACCACATTCGGTGTCACCTGCAGTCAAGTGCGGGTAAGGAATTATCTTGACATCCACGTAGAGAATCACATGACCTTTAACTACATTCCAACTAAGGTCTCCCTGACATTCCCTCATTACAACACAGCTCACGTATAATGAACGCAATAATGCACCGCACATCCCAACAGCATCTTAATGATTCCCTAGTGGAACGCCTCCTCACCGTGCCCGGACCCGGATAGTTCACGCAGAAACACTGACGTCGACACGGCTAGGGTACGGTGTTTTCCCGAAAACAGATCACCAAAAAATAAGCCCAATCATAATTTGTAGGACACCTGTAGTATATCAGCCCTATAGCAAATATACGGTAAAGTGAAAGCACCTTTTTCCACGGCTTCAGACGTACTCGGCAGATGGGGCTAGATCTATATTTTAAAGAACAATCGACACTCGGTGGGTGATGTGGTCATAATCACGGCTACTCAAAATATGAGCCCTAGTTAAAGATCGTCAACCGGAAGGTAATTTTTGTTCCCCTGTTGAAACACACTATGGACGCACGAAATGGGGGGGGGGGGGGAGAGGGGGTGGTGACAGACCCAGTGCCCTCAACACGTATGCCGTAAAAGACGACCCCTCCCCTCCCCTTCTTCGCGTTCACCGGCCATAAACTCCGGCGGAGAAAGTTCTTTTTGTTCTTCCAATTCTGTAGGAAT